TGCCTGGTAGTAATAAGTGGATAAACGCGATGCTCACGAATTATCTTCCATAAAATTTATTTTCCTATTATTACCCATGAAAAAGCGAAAAAATGTTTAGCACCTTCGACTAATGAAAGGCATTGGGAAAAAGGTGACTGCAAACGAGTCAAATGAGGAGTAGGTAGTGGTGTCAGGAGACCCCAATTCAAATTCTCTTCATATTCGGTAACGCTGACCCCTCCGTATTTTCGCAAAAGAACGCTCGGTTTATGGTTCCGCAAAGCTTAAGCTGCATAACTCCCTAGGTAATAGGTTGTATTATATCCACAATATGGGGTGTGCGATAGACTTACCTCCACGTGGTGCACCCTGGGCAACGTATACTCATACGGCAAAAAAGTCTATTAACCGGCATTTGACTTCTGACTTTAAACTACCACGACCCCCCCCCCCTGGTTGTCATATTCGACCCCTTCCACAGTACTCACCTCACCTTTTTTCTCTACATTTGTGTCTGTCTGCCTCTTTTACATCTGTGAATCGCTCTTCTGTTCCCCACCCCTCGACTTTCTGCTACTTTGATGAACCTTTCCTCTGTGAAGCCCGAAGTCAGCTAAATGGCTAGTGATATCTATCAAAACGTCTGCCATTTGAAATAAACAATATCCACAATATAGGGTGCACGATAGATTTATCTCCACGTGGTGTACCCTGAGCAACGTATACTCATACGGCAACAAGGTTTATTAACTGGCAATGACACGACTGTATGTCAAATTCGACCACTTTCACAATACTCACCTTACCTTTTTACGCCGTCTTTGTATCTGTCTTACATCTGTGAATCACTCTTCAGTTCACCATCTCGACTTTTTGCGACTTTGATGCTCCCCCTCTCCTCTCTGTGAAGCCAGAGGCCAACTAAAGAGCTAATGATGACTACCAAAATGCCTGCTATTTGCTATAAATATCCACAATACTCAGAGCTCAATTGTCAATTTTGTACCTCTTTACAGACAAGGCCATCATAATTACGAGAATAACCATTCATCCTGTGATCTCATTCACATTAAAGCTGCATGAAGGAGTAAGTGTCTGTTAGGTTAAATGCTTTATATAACAATTTCACCACCAGTTCAGTAACTAATCAATTAGTTTACAGTGCAATTGTATTGGCAGAGAAAATAAAAAGGAAATGAGCAACTTTCCTAATGAAAATTAATGTATTTAAAAGGTTAGACAGACAGGAAGGGATAAAGTGTCCAGTGTGCTGTTTATTCACCTAACGACCAGATTGCACTGTAATGTCACGAACGTGAAAATCAAATGATTGGTAATCCAGATCACGAGGAATGAAACCTGTGAACCATTAAAGCAAGGTAATTGCTCAAAATTAGGTTTTCCCACCATAATTAATCAATTAGAGGTTGGACGCATACTCCAAACACACAGTTGTTAACGTGATTGCCTGCAAATCAGAGGGCACGCTCCAATATCCACCGACGTACAAAATGACCAGCCGCAACATTTTTGCCTAGTATAACTTTAATTAGTCAAAATGAGAAATTATGCTTGCGGTTTTGTTTTTGTTTGGATGGTGAACATTAATAGGCGATTTTTATCTGTCTTTTTCCCGAAAAATTAAATTTCACCTAGTAAATCTAATGACAGGACGATTAAAAAAAGCTGAAGGCACCGACACACACACTCTCTCTCCTGCTTTCTTTTTCCACATCTTTCCGTCTTCCACTCTCACGAGTTTCGATTACCGTTGTAGGATATAATTGGATTACTCTCAAATCTTGGCTTTCGAATTTGAAAGCAGTGGTCTCACAGGCTGTACAATTTAAGCCATAATTAAATATCACATTTAATTTTCTCTTTTTAATCCTTTATCTCAAGTCATGCTAGCATTAGCATACTTCCACTAAATTTTCGCCAATGACACTCAAGGTGGAGATCAAAAATGATGGACAAAACGTTATTCATAACAGTATGATCTAGATTTTTCCTTCAATGCAAAGAAAATTAGAAAAAAAACAGACATGAAAAAGGCATTTTAAATCATATGCAACTGTGCAAACTAGAAAGAAATACAGGTAACAAACTTAACATTGACAATTTTAAACAAATGAAAATCAATACTTACCGAAGTGAACTTGGCATGGGCAAGCTTGCTCTATATTACCAGGCTTGAACAATTCAATCCATATTTAGTGCGATTCAGTGATATTATTACCCGTCCATCAACATTTGTAATAACATTAGAATGGTGAATACAATATCCGTTTGTTTTCATTAAGCCACATTAATATCAATGGATAAGTATACTTTTCTCAAATACAGGATCAAAACCTCTAGAAATCGTTTTTACCTGCCAACAGTAACGATCCCTACAAATTCCCACTAGGATATTTACCAACTGATGTAAGCCTATCTTAACAATCACAATCATCTGAAAGAGTAATCATTTTTTACTAGTAAATTGAATATTTCTCAGGATTTCCACTTCCTAATTACCATACTGTCAGTGCGATGAAAAGAAAGATAAGTTAACAGAATTTTACCTTATTATGATTGGGACTTTAAAAACGAAAAAAATAGGAAAAGAGCAGCCTGTGCGATTAAAATGCAAAAAAAGATAATTGAAACCAATAAGAATAAACACGTTCCTTGACGATTTACCACTTGATCAAGGGAATAAGAAAAAACCCAATTGATGAAGCTTGAAACAAGCCTACCAAATACTGTGCAAGACATGCATTGCACATCGGAAGCAAATTGGAACAGTGTTAGTATAAGCAAAATAGAACATTTTTATGAAATAAAATAAACATTACAGACAAGAATCGCACATACTGGAAATGATATTTGAGTAAGAATTTATGAATACATCTACAGCACCTCAAACTCGCTGAATGAAGTAATGCATAACAAATTTGAAAGAGAGGAGTGGGGCATTTTCGAATGTAAATGGCGATTAAACGTGAGCGATAAGTCAACATCATTACCAAATAAACACGGACTAAGTAAAATAAAAGCCTCGTTTATTGGATTATGCTCTTGAATTGACCGTAGGCAGTTTCCACATCAAATTGAAGTTGCCGTCCTTGTTCGGTGGTTAGGGAGTCTGATGCACCCATCGGCTCCATCACGTCAAGCCTAACATGTAAAAGAAGTTAAGATATCAATAATGATGCGTTATTTACAGGAGGTTTTACTTCAAACACAAGTAAGGTGGCGTGACACTCATTCAATAGCAATAAATCTAAAGTTCAACTTAAAAATGAAGATAAATAGGTATGGTAAGAAAATTACTGAAAGAAAGAACAACAATGAACTAAAAATCATAACACTACTTAAAACATCTAAGTAAAAAATTTAAGAATGTGAGTAAAAGTTGCATTCACTTACCAATGCCTCATTTTCTCCTTTCCATCAAAATTAGGAGGCAAAATGGAAAGACCATTCATGGCTTTCCAAAGGGAATCAATATCTGGTTGAATCTGAATACAGTTGATGAAAGGAAACACCCTTAGAGAAACACAATTTAAACAGTGCAAATAAATACAACTCCAGAAGAGTTATAGATGACGAAATAAAGACGTGAATCAAAGAAAACTTAATGAAAACACATGACCCAAGACAAGATCTCAGAAAAAATTTAAAAATTAAAATTTTCATCTGAACATTACCTCATCTTTGGCAAAATGACTCAGACTTAACCGATCCAGGGCAGTGATGAAAAGCTTTTAGAGGAAAAAAGGCAGTTAACAAAACAAAGAAATAAAGAGAAAAAAATGAATTAGCGTACCTCAGTAGTGTGAACGAGTAGTTTAAAGCCATCATCCTGAACAGTTGGACCCTCTTTAATAACCTTTAAAGCTCCTGGGCAGTCCATCTAAATTATCACAAAGGATTAAGACTTAGGAATAAATAAAAACGTAAGTATGAAAAAAATTGGAAAAAACAATGCCTTATATTTTTCCATAAACGCTTCATAAGAAGGATACTCATTTTTAACGAGAACAAAGGCCTCTTTAAGCTGAGAGAGCAGTCTGCGACAAAGGGAAGCATACCTGAATACGAATAATAGATTAAAGAGAAGAATGAGGATGATAAATGAAAAAACGCAAAGTAAGTAAACTTACTTATCCTCTTTAATGCAGTCTTTGATAAAAGCTTTCTGTAGAAACTGCAAGGAATTGATGAGCGCATAAACTTCCGCCAGATTGCGAACTCTTAATAAAATTAAGTTTAAAGACAAAACCCAAAAATAACAAAAAAAATATATCCGAAACTGGGAAAACTTAAAATAGAGAAGTAATAATAGCAAACATACTTTTCCCTTTCGGCTGAAGTTTTCCAAAGTTGTACCTCCTATTTAAATGACAGTTAATAGGAAATCAATATACGCACCTCTAAAAGGTTTGCCATAATTAAATTACCAAGCGAAAATAACTGGAGACCCTCTGGAATAATTGGGAATAAATCTGTATACTCAAACAAATCTTTTCCAGGTCGGTTAACATTAAATAAACCATGTATCATATAGAATATGGAAAATACTTTAAGAATTTTTCAAATATTCTAATTTTCGAACAAAATATTTACCGTTAAAGTCCTTTTAATATTTACAATGTAATGCGGTAACATATAGACTCGATATAGCAAATAAATGGAATATCGTTTTAGAAAATTATTTGTTCTAAATAATTGAGCAGTGAAAGGTAATGTTCAAATTTTTTAAATGAAATAAATAAGATGAAACCCAGCATTGCAAATCATTCATTAACTTAACCAGTCAGTGTGAAATAAATAATGTTATGTTGGTTTTAATGTCCATTTTTCTGTAAAATTTCTTTTATATTGCAACCTTGAAAAATTCAGTTAGTTATTGGTTTATTATTTCGCGGGTCAAATAAAAATTTCCCGTCTATAGCTGTACTTCTTTTAGTTTTCTAAGGTATACCTCTTTATTGATTTTTTGTCCGATGTGTGCTTCTTCTTTTGTATATATCTCTCCAAATTCTTTGAATATCATTTATCTTAATGATAATGTTTTAACAACGACAGGTTAATAGTTTTTCTGCTATCCCACTGATGTCTTCTAAGCGATTTTCGAAGATTATAAATCGGAAATCAGGAGAATTTGATAGCGTGCTTAATTCACTGAGTTTCTCCTCTTCTGCTGACAATAATATTGTTGGACTTGACGAAGCTCTTCAAGAATTCGCAGTAAAGAAGGCTCAGGCTGTCAGAAGACGTCGAGGGCCTGTATGTTAATGACTATGTCTATTGTTTTTTTTTGATATTACGGCCCACTTTCTATGTTCTTTTTTCAGATTGAAGGTATTCCAGATGATGATTCAACTTTAGAACAATTTGAAATTGCGGAGGATGCTATGCTTAGTGCGCATATTTGGGATGATGAAACCAATGGTTACAATCTTTCTAGATCTGCTCCCGCAAACGTTTCTCATCCTATTCTTAGAATCGAACTTTCTTTTGATAAAATCTCGTAAGTTCTATTATTTTAGTAACTTGTCAAATTTGATGGTCAATAGATTATTTTGCTTTCTTCGTCTTTTAATTTAGTTTTCCCCTTCTTTGCTATTATAAACTTAGTTATTCATATTTATGTAAGTATTGTATAGTATTTGCTTCCTCTCTCTTAATTTCGATAAAAGGAGATTGAAAATGGCGTTTCTATTCTAATTTCTAGTTACTAAGCATTATTCCCACTTTCCATGGCCTTTCTAACGATTTACATTGTAATTCTCCGCCATTTTCACTAAAATAATGCTTTTATAAGTTGGCTCATTGTTGAAAATCTATTTTCTATTCTCTGCTTGATCTCTTCTTTTGCTTTGTAAAGGGTTCTTATTACCTTCTCTTGTTTCTATGGTGTATTCGTTTCATTTATTTCCTTTCCTTTTATCGAATTTATACTTTTCTCTTTGGGCCTTATATGGGAGTTTAAAATTATAGGTATTATTCAAAAGAAGTTTAATCTATCCGAAATATTCCGTTTCTTCTCTTTAAGCACACTTTTGGTAGATCAATATTTCTCTTTTGCCAATTTTCACATTTCCATGGATGTATACGCTTTTTCATTGTTATTTGGAGTGAGAAGCATTTTTTCTCCTAATACATCCTTTGCTCAATTTAAGCTATTCCGTTAATTACCGTTAATTCCTCATTGACCTAATAATGTGACCTGCTTCATTTGTCTGCAGATCAGATTATATATTCTCTCTATGATCATGGTCCGTTAATATACTAAGATGATAGCTTTTAAATATTCGTGTAGTATTTTTAATGCATTTCACTGTCCTTATTAATGTATTCTATTTGGTTGGCATTGGGTCCCCGGCGAATAACCTGCTGAAGTTTCAAACGTGCTCCTTCTCTGAACTATGACGGAATTGTTAACTTGCGATGAAAAGCTATAATTAGACTGTTAAAGTGGGTTCTAAACGCTGTATTCGGACTGGGAATCTCATGTTTACTATCATTTTTTTTCTGTCGCAGAAATGTCACCTTTAGGATAAAAATTTCACCTTCTGCTAATTTTGCTTTACTAGCCAGGTTTTATGGTGCTGACCATTCTCCTCACTAGAAAGCCTTCGAACTTGTGACCTTTGATCTTTGTTGTGGACATACCATTGGCTAGTATCAGAACGTACGTGTACTGACGTACTCCGACTCAATAATGAAATTTTTTGCTCACAAAAGCGGTTAGTATTTTTTTTGATACGTCAGCATTACATTTGTTGTTCTCCTTTTCTAGCTCCACATACTACTAATCTCGCTAAAATACGCAAAATAAATATGATTTGGCTTGAAGGTTTTGATGGAATGTGATGATTGCACTGTTATAAAAGCTATCTATTTTCTCTATTTTCGATGTCCATCGAGGAATTTATTTTCCTTATTACATTTATTTTAGTTTATAACCGAGTAAATTTTACATAAATATTTGATTATTTACCTTTTTATTGGCAATTAGTTATGAAATACCAGTGTAGTCAATTTGCTTGTTAAGATAGCTGAACTTAATGTCCTATTTTTAGCCTATGTCCTGAAATTGTCCTTTTTTCATTTCACTCCGGTCGTTACGCCAAAATTTTATTTTATCCACTCTTGCATTCCCTTTTCACTGAAATTTGCCTGACCAACCACCTAGTCTACTTTACTAGTTAATGAACTCCAACCAGCTAAGAGTTACATTCTTGAAATTTGAACTTTCGTGAGATAGTGGAGTGGACCGGCCAACCTAGTTAATCCAGTTTTCGAATTGTGACCTGAAATTCATAATTCGTCCCTAAATGAACTGCTTTACTCACAGCACTTCAGTCGTCAAGTTCATTTCTTTCCTTTTTCTTGCATACGATGGTAAAATAACTCTTACTTTAACAGTTAATTGGATCAATACTGTGCCTTTTGGTAATTTTATTACAGAATAAAATCCACATTGTGAATGGTCATGAATTTCCTATTGATTGTTTGTGATTGATTTCCTCACAAAATAACAGCGTTATATTGTGGTAAACAGATTACTCTAACTTTTTCCCTTTCGGCTTCATTAAGCACGTAATTCGATTATCAATTTCCTTTGTTACCAACTATCTCATGTTGGGCTTCATTTCGTTCAGCCCGTGAATCAACCTCGTCATTGTCACGTTGCTTCGGTCTATTAGCTGATATTTGGTTTCCCTCCCAATGTTATTTTGAATGGTTTTACTCACCGTATTCCATCTCCTTCAACTGATTGTCATGCTCTAGTCAACGTGGTATGTCAAGGACAGAGATAATTTGCCATTAGTATCGACACGCGGGTTTTTTTCTGCATATAATGCATACACCCGGATATAGATCGCCCAGAATTTGGCTATTGGCCTCCTTTTCTTTCTGTGAATTCGAGTTTTTTCTGCCACTGCGTCTCTATTTTCTATGTTGCTGTAACTCCCGCTTGGAACTTGAATGAACTTCTCTCTGTCCTATTTTAGTTTTTTTCAATTTTTTTGTTTTTACTTTGAATATGTCGTCACTTGAAGCTGCTTAAAAAAGGCCATTAGTCTTAACGTTTTAAAGACATCTAAACCTACTGAATTTAGGAATTTGTCCAATTATTTATTGCTATTATTATTATTACTATTACTCTCCACAATAAAACAGCAAAACCTTACCATTTTGTTTTACATTGAGGAGGAATTTGAGTCGGTTAGCCCAAAAATTGTAGAAGGTTGAAGGCCAAATGTCGTCAATTCCTCCCCCCTTCCCCTTATTGTCAGTCATACTTCCTTCACACATTTTTATTTCACTCCAAAATGGCTGAGACAGCAAATCTTATGTGATGTTCCGTAGTTTAAAATTTGCGTGGTAGAGATGAAAAGCCGAAATAATTTCAATATATATATATATATATATATATATATATATATATATATATATATCCCGCAGGGAATACAATTCATGAAATAATGTTCTGAACTCATATTTAATGTTTTGCATCACAACTGCGTGTTCAGAGCTTATTAACTGATTGAATTCAATTACCTCATTTTTTCAAGTCACCTCGATTCAATTGAATCCATGTTTTACAAGAATCGTGAGGAGGAGGAGGAGAACGAGATTGGCGCAGATTTTGAACGCATCTGATCTCCTGCTAATGAAGTCTCTTGGAGTTTTACTTTCCCGATATTGATTGTGGGCTGAGGGAGGATTGACGGAAGTGCTCACTTCCCCTTTGGTATATTTTATCTTTGTTGGAAGCACAATTCACTTAAAATTTTTGTTGTCTCATTCATTTGAAATGTGTGGCTTGTTAGATGGGTAGAAAAGGAGCATTTCATAACGCTTTTTTTGCGTTTTTCACCTAATGGTCGTCCTTAACTTGAAGAAAAATTGGAACGCCACTTACTTTCCCTAAGCCCTAATTCACGATATGCCCTCCTCAAATTTTCCATAGAAGCCCCTTTCATGTTTTTTGGTTTTGAAAATTAAATAATTGGGAAATACAATCTTGTGGGTGTTAAAATTGAGCGTTGGGAGGGATGTGGGGGATTGGGAAGTGGGTATGTATTTCTGGGAATGTTTTTAGGTGCGTTCAAGGTGTTCGTGCTTATTATTCTTTTCTTTTCAAGCTTTATATCCTTTTTCATTTACGCGATAATATAAAGAATAGATGATTGAAGCACATTGGAATCGTTTAGAAGACAACTTGTATCATGGTGATATGCGCAACACTGGTGTACTGTAGGAAAAAAATCTGTCATTGCAATTGGGGTTTCATCGCCACAGTTAATTGAATGTTTCAGCCTCTCCCACGAAGTTTGAGTCACTAGGTTATATAAATGCATTTAAGCCTCAATTGATTAGTTGAGCCTTAACATTTAGCTTCGTTTCTGTTCAAGTTTCAATACTGCGGCCATTTAAGTAATTTGAAACGTTATTTATTTACATCAAATTCCAGGCGTTTTAATAGTTATCATTAGTCCTTTAGTTGACTACGGGCTAGACATAGGGGAAAGAATATCAAAGCGAAAAAAAGTCGAGAGTGGGGG